GACTGGCTTGATCTCCTTGCATTCCAAGGGACCCTCAAGAGTCTTCTCCAGCACCACAGTTCCAAAGCATCAATTCTTTGGCGCTCAGCCTTTTTTATGGTCCAACCCTCACATCCATACATGACTACTGGAAAAACCATAGCTTTGACTAGATGGACCTTTGTTGGCAAAGTGATGTCTCTGCTTTTTAATACCTTGTCTAGGTTTGTCATAGCTTTCCTTCCAAGGGGCAAGCATCTTTTAATTTCAAGGCTGCAGTCACCATCCTCCGTGACTTGGAGCCCCAGAAAAGAAAATCTGTCACTGCTTCCAGCTTCCAGAGACCCCTAGAATTCCTCACTCAGGGTTCCCTTCCTCCGTTTTCAAAACCAGCAACATCACAGCTCTCTGATCCCACTCCTGTGGTCACGTCTCTTTTTCTGATGCTTTTGGGCTTCCCTTTTCCAGTTTTAAGGGCCCTGGAGACTATATCTGGCCTACCTGGATAATCTAGGCCACACTCCTATTTTAAGCCGATTAGCAGCCCTCATCCCTCCTGTAGCCTAATTCCCTTTGTAACCTTTGTAATCCATAGGTCCCAGGGGTTGGGAAGCAGACATCTTTGGGAAGGGCATCATTCTGCCTCCCCGGCCACAATAGGTAGCTTAAAAATGAGGCATCATAAGGAATACCTTTCCCCTCATCTGGGGTGGAAAGGAAGCTGGCAATAGCCTGAGTTCCATAAAATCTTGTTCAGCATGGGACTTTCCTGGCGGTCCAGTGGTTAAGGCTCCACGCTTCTGCTGCACGGGGCTCGGGTTTGATCCTTGATCAGGGAACTAAGATCCAGCATGCCTGTCGCACCACATGGCCAAAAAACCAATAAATAAATAAATAAATAAGTTTAAAAAAAATCTTGTTCAGCGGTGTGCAGTTACAGGCTCGGGTGTGGTCACTGGTGCTGCCACATTGTTCTCTAGCATCCTCACTGTTTTCTGGTGGGGTGCCAGTCCTCGAGGCACCCCGCCTCACGTGCTTACTGTGGAGACTTGGATGTCAGCACAGCTTCCCTCTCCTGACCCTCCAGGTCACTGGCAAGCCCGGCCTTCAAATTAATTCCTGAGTCCTTCCTCTCTTCCGGCTGCCTCATGGTCCAGGGCCCTGCAGTTGGCCTTCCTCTTGCATTGTGGCTACGCTGTGTGCCACCCATTTCTCAGACTTCCCAGTGTGTTCCCTTATGTGGTTATTTAAATTGAAATCGGTGACTTCCCTGGCGCTCCAGTGGTTAAGGCTTCCACTCCAAGGGGTGTGGGTTCGATCCCTGGTCGGGGAACTAAGATCCTGCATATGGCATGAAGTGGCCGGGGGAAAAAAAAAAGAAATCAATAAATTGAAATTGGTTTGATTGAAATCAGATTTAAAAAGCAGTGCCTTATTGCACTGGCCATATTTCAGATGGTCCCACCCACATGTGCTGAGTCGAATGACTGTCCCATGGGATGAACCGTGCAGCAAGAGGACATTTTCATTATCATAGAGAGTTCTACTGGACACGGTTCCAGCCAGCCGCCCGGGGGCCTTTCTGAGACTCCCAGACGGCACCCAGCCGTTCGCTTTAGGTGTCTAACCCACGCGGGTAGTTCTTACAGAGGCCCCGGTGTTGTCTGGATGTGGCCTCTGCCCTTCTCTCTAATGTCATTTCTTCCCATAGTTTCCCCTTAACGATTCTTTAGCCCCGCTGCCTTTGCCCTCTTTCTAAGATATATCTAGTTTGGTCCTGCCTCAGGGCTTTTGTATCCGCTGTTCCCCAGGATGCTGTAGATCTCTCTGGATCTTTCCCTCACCTGCTCCTGGTCTGTTCCAATGCCACCTCCCCCAGCAGGCCCGCTCTGATTTCCCACTCTAAAGTTGCTCTCCCCACCCCACCTCCCAGATGCTCTCTGTCTTTTCACCCTTTGTTGTCTTCCCGGTTCTCATCACCCCCTGAAATCACCGGAAGTGTCTCCACTGGACTGTAAGCACTGTAGGCAGGCCTGTGTCCTCAGCTTCTAGAACTGTGCTCGGTATGTAGTGGGGACTCACGCAGTGTGTAAACATATGGAGGTGTGGGTGTATCCTGCTTAGGAAATTGAGGCTCAAGACTGGGGTGTGACTGAGCTCACAGGGCTGGTAGGACAAGAAGCCATTCCTCATCTTTCTAGGTCTTGTCTTTTGGGGCCTGTTTGATTAGAGCCATGTTGTCAGCTGGAGATGGGGATTTGGGAGGGGTTGTTTGCAGGAAGGTTGGGAGGAGGGACTGTTAGCAGGTTGGGCGGTTTCCCCAAGTTCAGGCAGAATGAGGTACTTCATGGGCAAAGTTTGAAGCTGGGACCTGGAAGGGCCCATCTCTGCCGTGGCCTTTTCTGGCCCTCCTGCCCTTTCCTCTGTTTGCTTCTTTCTTCACTGGTGTCTGTGGGAATTTCTGCTTGTAAGTGAGCTGACAGTGCAGAGACCTGGTAGGCTGTGTGCTACACAGTTGCCATAGCAAGTGGCAGATGCTATACCAGCCTGATTAGGCCGTAAAGGGCACTTCTTGGTTTATCTTTGTATTAGGCATGGCTCCAGAGCTAAGCTGTGGTCCGAAGCTGCCTTTTGCCATGGGCCAGCTCGATTTTCCTCTGGACTGGTTTCATTGCCAGGCAGGCTTTTGGCTCCAGGGTCCAGGCTCACCTCCTCCCAGCAGAAAGGGGTCCACTGGGTCCTCTGTATTCCAGCAAAGGTCCCAGAGTTTGCTCTGATTGGGCTAGTTTTTATCACATGACTGGCTGTGAACCAATCAGTGGCCAAGGGTGGGCTGTGCGGATTGGCCAGGCTGTATCACATGCTCAGCCCCTGGTTCAGTGAGGAGCCGGCACCCACATGGCAAGAGGTTGAAAGTAGGGGAGGGGCTTAATTGAAGCATAGGTTCCAGGAGATAGTGCATAGTAGGCAGCAGAAACAATATATCCATCCGCTGCCAAGGGCTAGGCTTGAAAATTACACTGCCATATCTTAGCACATATGCCAAAAGAACTTCAGAAGTGCAAGGGAATTATGTATGCATTATGTAAATACAGTTTTTTTCTTTTATGTTGAAATAGACATATATACAAGAAAGATACCCAACTGACACATGCACTTTGAAAGTCCACAAAGGGATGCAGAAAGAGAGCAGGAGTGATCCTCTCAGTCGCTGGCCTCACTTCCAGCACCATGGCTTTGCCTGCCTTTGGTCTTTATGTAAATGGAGTCATAAAGCATATATTTCCTTTTCTCTATTTCTGGCTTCTTTCACCCATTTTCAAACTGGTGAAGTCCGTCCCCGTTGTGAGTGCTCTTTTCATTGCTGTATAGTGTTTCAGTGGGACCGCACTTCCATTTCCTTACCTCTTTTACTGTTCATGGGCATCCAGTAAGGTTATGCTCATTGATCATGACCCTAGTATTGCTAGGAACGTTCTCATACATGTCTTTGGGTGCACTTGTGTGTGTGTTTCTGTGGTATTTTATCTGAAGATAAGAAATACACACTCATTTCCCTTTCTGGGCCTTGAGGAGTTCTTGGACTCAAAGAACTGTCTCTCCTCCAACCTCCATGCTGTGTAAGGTCCTGAGACTTGTTCACTAGAACCCCTTAATTGTAATCCATGGTGATCCTGGACAATTAGGTCTGGTTAGATGTGTCATAAAGCCATAAATTAATTACCACTTATTACCTGGGCGTTGTCTCCCTCAATCTGTTTGGAAATAAAATAGAAAAAACACATACATGCTATTAAAAAACCCAGCAAGCTGAAGCAAGAGCAGGTGATGGCAAATTGGTCTAGCCCATCTCAGTCTCCCCGGAGCCTTGCAGGCATGATGGAGCTTGTTTGAGGTTCGTCATCTTCTAGGGCCTGGCTCAGTGACTGCTTCCCTTGCCGAGGGGGAGAGGTTCTTCGTGTGTTTGCTCTGCTGATTTCCTCTCACAGTAGAGATGGGAGAACGGGAAACAAGGTTTTTCAAATTGTGAAACGTTGTCCTTGGTGGTGCCTAAGACCTCAAAGGTCCAAGGAGGCAGCTTTAAATAAAATTGATTTACATGGTACGAGAGGGCTTCCTGGGTGGCTCAACTGGTAAAGAACCCACCTGCCAATGCAGGAGATGCAAGAGAGATTTCAGTCCTTGGCTTGGGAAGATCCACTGGAGAAGGAAATGGCAACCTGCTCCAGTATTCTTGCCTGGAAAATCCCATGGACAGAGGAGCCTGGTGGGCTACAGTCCATGGGATCACAAAGAGTCGGACACAACTGAGCATGTGTGTGCACACGCGCGCGCACACACACACAGACACAGTGAGATAGGGCTTCTGTTTTCCATCCTTTTTGTTCTCCTGATTATCTCCAGGAGAAAGTGTTGGTGCTAAGAGGGCTTGAGTGCCATTCTAACACTCATCTCTCCCTTTTGACAGAGAAAGAGCAAGTCTCAGGGTGCCAGCCTCTTTTTTTTCATGTAGGTAACAGTCTCTGGATAGAATCTACAGCATTCATTTGTTCACAATGTATTTATTCCTGGATTTATTTTCTAATTTCGGCAAGTGTTTACCAGTTATGCTTCAGATAGCAAGCGTCTTTAAAATATAGCTGTTGAAATAAAGCAATAGCAGCTGCTTCAAAGAAGCACATTATGTAACAGTGAAGGGGGTATCCGGATATGGCAACACATCATAGAGATACTGGGAAGAATAAATTAATGTTGAGAAACTTGAAGGCAGTGGATGGAAAAGGACTCTGGGAAAAATGAAGTCAGACAGCAGTGAAATCCCAGCTTTTATTTTAAACCGGTGCTTGGCTTTGCTAAGAAAAGCAGAAAGAATCTAGACATTTGAGGTTGCCAGACACACATGAACAGTAATGTGGGTCACCTGGCTGGCAGTCGATGGGCTGCTGGTTTTAGGGGAGGAGACCTTTTGAGTTTTGGTCTTTCTCTTCTTCGTATCAAAGTGAAGTTCATGTAACATCCAGTTAACCATTTTAAAGTTCACGATTCAGTGACATTGAGTACATTCAAAATGTCATGCAGCCTCCACCGCAGTCTAGTTCCAGAGCATTCTCATCAGCCCCAGAGGAGCCCCCGTACCCCTTAGCACTCACTCCCCATCTTTCCTCTCCCCGGCCCCTGTCATCGCTAGTCTGCTCTGACTCTGTGATTTGCCCATTCTTGACCATCTCCAGTTTCTGAGAGAGGCTTATTATTTTCCTCCTTGACTCATTGTCCATCAGGCTTGTTATCTGTTGTCCTGAGCACATGAGGATGCCGTGGTGTTTGCCTCGCTTGGTCGGGTGATGGAGAGGTTCAGCTTCGGGTGTCTGGGTGTGAATTTCTCACTCGGAGGGATCCGAGTCAGTCTTTGCCCTCACACACTGGCGTCCATCCCACAGGCCCGCTGCTGGGAGAGAAGGAACAGAGCAGGTGTGTCTTCTCCCGAGGACGTTAGGGAGACCTGAGGTGTGCACACCCGAACAGCTCTGATCATTGCATTGCCTGCAGAAGACAGTCCGGGCTGCTTGGCTTGGCAATCCAGAGGCCCTTCCTCTCACCCAAGTTCAAGTCTTTCTATCCTCAGTTCCCATCATTCCCTCCAGGCACTGTCTGCTCCATATGCACTGTTCATTTTCTCACCTCCTTGCATTGGCCTCTGCCATCCCCTCACCTGGAATGCCATCCCCTGACCTTCTCTGCCGGCGTCTTGAGCCAGCATCTTCTCCTTGCCTTGATTTCTCCTCCTTTACCATTCTTACAGTGCTGAGCTTGTCCCTTGCTGGGTGGGTTCCAGTTCCTGGTGCCTCTTGGGTGCTTGGTGAATAATTACACACTGAGTGAGTTCTGTCTAGTTATTGTTGTTTGCATCTTGTCATCATCACGAGGTGGGTGCCCTGCGGGCAGTGGCTGTGTTTTCATCGCCTGTGCATCCCTTCACCCAGCTCAGGGCTTGACGTGAGCAGGTCTCTGGATGTGCAAACGTGCTGCCTTTGTCTGACACCCCGTCTCTGCCCCTTTGCTTTCCAGATGCACCCTTGTTTCTCTCCCATCCTCACTTCTACAACGCTGACCCAGTCCTGGCAGAGGCAGTGTCTGGCCTCCATCCTAACCCAAAAGAACATTCCTTGTTCCTGGACATCCACCCGGTGAGCCCCTGCCTGTCAGCCTTTGGGTGGGGGTGGGTGAAATTTCTGTTTGGTGCACACTCAACTTTCTCCTCTCCCCGCCAGGCACCAGGCTGTTCCAGGGTGGTGGGGATGGGAAGCCTGGGTTTCTTTGGCATTGATAGCTTCTAGGCTATCAAGTCATCAAAGTTTGCCCCGACTCCATAGTGCAAGGACTTTATTATCTCTTTATAAGGGAATTGTCCCTATAAAAAGATCATAACACAGTAAATTAATTAGGAATTATCAACCTGTAAACTAGCCAGAGGCAGCCCTCTGGCTGTGCCAACATACCGTAAAGATCTTTAGGTACCGACAAGAACCTGGAATGTCTTGCGGATAAACTGGGCTCTGGGGAATTTGTCCTGTGTGATGTTTTGTCTACAAACAGGGACCAGGAGGCTATCAGACCTGCACTTGTGACCCTCCCATGGGCATGTCTTTACCCTGTTGCTTCTTCTCTTAGGGCCTCCATTCATTGCAAATTTGCCCATTTGGACTTGGTGGCTTTATCATTAATTAAAAAAATTCTTTGGGTTTCTGTTTCTGGAGTGGACATTTGTGGTCTCCCCCCATAGGCCTTTTTGGAAGCTCTTCTTCTTGGTGCTTTTCCATGCTGTCTTCCTTGATACTACTCAGATTTTCTTAGCCACTGACTCAACTCACAGCCCCTAGCACTCCACCTTCTAGCTCTCTCTCTTATTTTTCACTGAAAATCCAGATTGGGAATTCCCTGGCTGTCTAGTGGTTAGGACTCCATGCTTTCGCTGCCGAGGGTGTGTCTTCAATCCCTAGCTGGGGAACGAAGATCCCGAAAATTATGTGGCTTGACCAAATTAATAAAATAAAATAAATCTGGGTTAGTGAAGTCAGCCATGATTGCACACACTTCACATTCATATTTCTAGAATGCTTATTATGCTATTATTATAGACATAATCCTATTCATCCACATGTACCGATTCATTTAGTTTTCACAATAATTGGAGAGGTGGACATGGCTATTCCCATTTTACAGATGGGTAAACTGCAGCCCAAAGAGGTTAAGTGCTCCAACTAGTAAATGGGGTTCTTGTCTCCATCAGGGAAAGAGCTGTTCTGTCTTGTTAATTGCTTGAATTCTAGCGGTTAGCACAGAAGTACTTGTATTTCAGTAAACATGGGTTTGATTTACTGAGATCCTAGTGGTTGAGAGTAAGTAAGGGATAAGACTGACTTCAAACATAGGTCTTCTTTTTTAATTAAAATTTTTTTTTATTATTTCAAAATGTTTTTTCTTTAAATCTGAGTATCATTTGCATATGTCTGTTTCTTAAAAAATTAATATGCTTTGTTTTTTGTTGTTGTTCTGTTTTTTGTTTGACTGCGTGGGATCTTAGTTCCCATGACCAGGGATCAAACCCTTGCCCTCTGCAGTGGAAGTACAGAGTCTTAACCACTGAGCCTCCGGGGAAGTCCCTACTTTGTTTTTGTTTTGTTTTGTTTTTTAGATGAGTTTTAGGCCTGCAGATAAACTAAGCAGAAAATACAGTTCCTAGACCTTGTGTTCCCCTGGCACGAAGTTTGTTACAGTTGATGAATGAATGTTGTTATTAACTAAAGTCAGTAGCTTACGTTATGCTTCACTCTGTGTTGTTCAGGTTTATGGGTTTTGACAAATGCATGATGACCTGTGTCCACCATTCAGTCTCCTAAGAGTGGCTTTACTGCCTTCGGAATCCTGTGTGTTCCATCCATTTATCCCCCCACTACCTTCTATTTTCACTCCCATCTAACCCTTGGCAGCAGCTGATCTTTTCTATCTCTATAGTTCTGCCTTTTTCAGAATGTCATATAGTTGGGACCATCGAATATAAGCTTTTAAAAAAAAATTGAAGTATAATTAATATACCACGTTATTTAAGTGACAAGTGTTATAATGAATATACCACGTTATTTAAGTGACAAGTGTTACAATGAATATACCACGTTATTTGAGTGACAAGTGTATATGATATGTGCTTGTGTCTGACTCTTTGCATCCTCATGGAGTGTAGTCAGCCAGGCTCCTCTGTCCATGCGATTTCCCAGGCAAGAACACTGGAGTAGGTTCCCATTTCCTCCTCCAGGGGATCTTTCAGACCCAGGGATCAAACCTGGATCTTCTGCATTGGCAGGCAGATTCTCTACCACTGAGTCTCCTGGGAAGCCCCAGTGTATATAATACAGTGATTCACAATGTTTAAAGCTTATACTCCACTTATAGTTACTTAATTTAAAATATTGACTATATACAAACAGGTCTTTTAATGCCCACTACCTTCTGTCCTGTATTAATATACAGTTGATGAAGTGGGTATTAATGAATTAAGTTGATCATAATTAATTAATATGATTCTATTACATGTTCTAGATTAAATTCAGTCTTTATTGTTAGACATGTTAAGGCTTTTCCATATTGTCTTAAACTTTTTTTTTTTTTGGTCTTAAACTTTTAACCAGTTCTTAAAAGGTTTTTATTAGGGACTTCCCTGGTGGTCCTTTGGTTAAGGCTCTGCACTCCCAATGCAAGGGACACAGGTTTGATCCCTGGTCAGGGAACTGAGATCCCACGTGCCATGTGGTATGGCCAAAAGAAAAACAAAGGCTTTTATTAGAAAGCTAACAAATGGTTTTCTACTTTCTTTTTTAGTTCATTCGTTTCACTGCTTCTTTCTCTCCATTCCTTTCTTTCTCTCTGCTGACTTTACTCTGTTCTCACTGGTGACTTTCATTTTAGTGTATGGACTTTCTTTTTCTCCGCCACATTGAGAAATAAACAGTTAAGTCTGGGAGGCTGGAGAGATGCAAACAGTTGTTTTGCAGCAGTGCATCAGCAGATGCAGAAGTAGGCTTCTAGTTCTCATTTCGGGCCAGAGGCAGACAGGGAGAGGAAGTGGCCTGGGATTTGTTGTTGATTTGGGGAGGATGAGCGTGGGGGTGGATCTGCTGATTTCTGATCTCATTAGTTTTGAAAACAGAATGCCTCCTGGAAGCGGCTTCTCTGTTGCCTGCTTTTCTGCTCCTGAAACCGGGGGAGAGAAACCCTTGACAGATGTGGGCTCATGGGGCAAGTGTCTGTTCTCTGGGGTAGGGACGAGGGGGAGAGACAGGGCTTTGCTCAAGAAGAGGTGGCCAGACAGCAGCTGGAGGGACAACCGGGGAGGGAAGGAGACACATTTCCTGGGGAAGGAAGTGGCCTGAGTAGAGACCCCAGCGTGTAGAGTCTGGAGAGCAGGATGTGTCGGGGTCTACAGGGTCACCCTCAAATTGGAGGATTTGCTGGAAGGACTCCCAAGACCCAGCAGGTAGTCACACTCGCTTCTGTGATGTGTCACAGCGAAGGACAGAAAGCACAGTCAGTAAAGGGGGAGGCACGTGGGGTGAAGGCTGCGGGAACCAGGCACAGACCCCCAGAGCCTTCTCCTGGGGGATCACACCGGGCAGACTTCGCTCCCCGTGTGAGGTGTCCTCAACCAGGGATGCCCTGTCAAGACTCAGCGCCCAGGGTGTTTATTGTGGGCACCCTCTGCCTGGCGTGGACTCCAGACAGCAGGAAGGAAAGCGGGTGTCAGCATCAACTAAACTGTTTTACAAACCCTCTAGGCCAGGGAGTCCCTCTTATCTGTCAGGGAGAGGTGGGAGCCCCCTGAAATCCAGGATCCCAGAGGCCAGACGGGGGCCACCGTTTCAGGAGGGCGGCCTCAGGCCCACTGGATGAACGCTTTTTCAAACACGGGGGATCTCGCTCACATCCTGCCAGGTTCTCAAGTTCAAACTCTCCCCGATCATGGGAGCGTGGCCTTTGGCCAGTTCCTCTGTGCCCTGGGGCCCCAGAAGACCTGAGGATGCCGGGCTATGCTGGAAGATAATGCCTGTTCCCACTGGTGTCTGTGATAACGACACAGCGTTTACGGCCCTGAGTGTGGCTGTCTTGCATCCCTGACTTTGCCCTTGCAGAAACCCTGTGAGGTGGGCAGAGCTGTCTCCACTTTTCAGATGAGAGTCTCAGCTGAGAAGCAGCAGTCTGTCCTCAAACCTAGGTTCCTTTCCACTCTCATTTCCTTTCTTTAAAAAAATTTATTTGGCTGTGTTGGGTCTTAGGTGCATCATGTGGGATCCTTCATGGTACACAGATTGTCTAGCTGTGGCATGGGCTCAGTAGCTGTGGCATGAGGGTTCAGTTGCCCCAAGGTCTGTGGGATCTTAGTTCCCCCACCAGGGATCAAACCCGTGTTGCCTGTGTTGCAAGGCAGATGCTTAACCACTGGACCACCAGGAAAGTCCCTCCAGTCTCATTTCCTGACACCATTCTGGAACCACCTTCCTGGTTTTTGGTTCTAGATGTGTGTCACTTTATTGACTTACTACTTAAAAAACAAGATCTCGTTAAAAAAAAAAAATCCTGCACAAAGGAAGCTTTCAAATTGGGAATTAAAAATTTCTCCAGGACTTCCCTGACCGTCCATTGATAAGACTCTGCACTTCTAATACAGGGGGCACAGGTTTAATCTCTGGTCAGGGAACTATGATCCCACAGGCTGCATGAGGTAGCCAAAAAAAAAAAAAAATTCTCTCCCAATGGAGAGCTCACTGGCCGTCCAGTGGTTAGGACTCTACTCTTCTGCTGCGGTGGCCTGGGGTTCAATCTCTGGTCTGGGAGCTAAGATTCTGCAAGCTGTGCAGTGGAGCCAAAAAGAAAAAACAAAAGGAAAAAAAAATTTCTCTAAGAAGATTAACATAAAATTAAACACAAAGAAAAAATATCACTAAACTCTCTGTAAAATATCATCGTCTGCCCTTGGCATGAGCTCTGTTGAAATGGAGATTCCATGGAACTATATTTCAGAGGCACTAGGGACCAAGCAAGTTTCCCCGGTGGCTCAGTGGTAAAGAATCCTCCTGTCAATGCAGGAGAAGCGGGTTCGATCCCTGGGTTGGGAAGATTCCCCCGGAGAAGGAAATGGCAACCCACTCCAGTATTCTTGCCTGGAAAATCCCATGGACAGAGGACCCTGATGGGCTATGGTCCACGGGGTCACAGAGAGTTGGACACGACTGAGTGAGTAAACAAGAGGGACCAGGCATGCTTCCTGGTCAGACTTTCTCTTTCAGATGCTGGCAGGAGGGAGTGGAGAGGGGTGGGTGATTGAAGAAGATAGTGACTTTTATCAACATGCAAATCTATTTTATTTTATTTGGAGGCCGGAGGGAGGGGTAATGACTGAGAAATATCCTTCTGCACTCAGGAATGCATTCTATGAGTGGAAAGATGGAAAGGATTATTTTTTCCCATCCAGAGAGAGTCTGGTTCCCTGGAGGGGATCCCTCAATGTTGTGGACATAAGAGCCATTTGGAGAATATGTATTTACCCATTAGGGGTTAGAGTGGGTAGAGGAGACCCCAGCAGGTGGATACTTCACCTGGGACATGCACCTTCTTGAACGGGACCAGGGAGAGGGGGTTTAGAAGGGGTTCCCGGGGGTCCAGGAAGGGCTAGCCCCTCACTGCGCTTGTTGCTGCAGGTCACCGGAATCCCCATGAACTGCTCTGTGAAACTGCAGCTGAGCCTCTTCCTTAAGTCTGTGAAAGGCATCGGGTGAGTGGGGTCTGGGGGCCGGGGCTGCCTTGTGGTTGAGAGATTGGGGTCTCAGGGAGACTCTGGCCTTGTTCTGGGGGACTCAAAGTCTGGGGAGGGATATGGGATCTGGTCTCTGCCCCTTGGACTCCTAAGAGGAATCTTAGCTCTGAGCTGAGTCCAGGCCACATCCTGACACCCCTGGCCTTTTGTCTGTTGACGTTTGTCCCCCCTGTTAGTCAGAATGTTCCGTCCAAGCTGTTTCTCCCTTGACAGAGTAGCAGAAATTAAATCGTGCCCAAACCGAGTGTTTGAAAATGGAAACTTGGCCAACAGCATTCTCTAGCGAGACCATTCACCTGAGGGAAGGAAGATTTTTTTTATTTTTTTAATTGGAGTGCAGTTGCTTTAAATGTTGTTTTGTTTCTGCGGTCCAGAGAAGTGAATCAGCTGTATGTGTACATTTATTCCCTCTTCTTTGGCTTTCTTTGCCTGCGGGTCACCATGGAGCCCTGAGTAGAGTTCCCTGTGCCTGCAGCAGGTCCTCATTAATCACCTATTTTATACACAGTGTCAACAGCGTATGTCAGCCCCAAGCTCCAGTCCATTCCAGCTCCCTCCCCTCCTAGGTGGCCATATGTTTGTTCTCTAATGTCTGTGTCTCCATTTCTGCTTTTCAAATAGATTCATCTGTACCATCTTTTTAGATTCCATATATACGTGTTAACATACAACATTTGTTTTTCTCTTTCTGACTTACTTCATTGTGTGTGATTGTCTCTAGGCCCATCCACGTCTCTGCAAATGGCACAATTTCATTCCTTTTCATGACCGAGTAATATTCCACTATGTGTGTGTGTGTGTGTGTGTGTGTGTGTGTGTGTGTGTGTATACACCACATCTTCTTTATCCATTCTTCTGTTAATGGACTTTTGGGTTGCTTCTGTGTCTTGGCTGTTGTAAATAGTGCCGCAGTGAACACTGGGGTGCATGTATCTTTTTGAATTATGCTTTTCTCTGGGTATATGCCCAAGAGTGGGCTTGCTGGGTCATATGGTAGACAGGAGAAATTTTTTAAGTGCAAGTTTTCTTTTTCTTTTTTTTGTTTTTCCAGTGACAGCTTCATCAAGATTTAATTCACACAGTATAAAACTCACCCTTTAAGAATGTACAGTCCAGTAGGATATTCACAGAGTTAGGCAACATCACCACAATCAATTTTGAAACATGCCATCAACCCACAAAAGAAACCCCACACCGTTAGCTGTCACTCCCCATTTCCCTCAGCCTCAGGCAACCCTTAATTTACTTCCCATTTCTATGGATTTACCCATTTTGGCCATCTTATGTGAATAGAGTTGTATAATATGTGACTGGCTTCTTTCACTTAACATGGTGTTCTCAAGGTTCATCCATGTTGTAGCAGGTGTCAGCACTTCAGTCCATTTTATTGCTGAATAATATGCCATTGCCTGGCAAGACCATGTTTTTATTCATCCACTGATGGACGTTGGGCTGTTTCTACTTTTTGGCCATTATGAATAATGCTGTTCTGAATCTTTAAAAAAGTTTACATATTTTGTTTTTGGCTGTGCTGTGTCTTTGTTTCTGTACTCAGGCTTTCTCTAGTTGCAGCGGGCAGGGGCTCCTCTTTAGTTTTGCTGCACAGACTTCTCATTGCGGTGGCTTCTCTTGTTGTGGAGGCCAGGCTCCAGGCACACAGGCTCAGTACTTGTGGTATACCGGCTTAGTTGCCCCTTGGCACGTGATGTCTTCCTGGACCAGGGATGGGACCTGGGTCCCCAGCATTGGCAGGCGGATTCTTAACCACTGGACCACCAGGGAAGTCCTGCTCTGAATATTTATGCCTGAGTATGTGGCTGTATGTTTTCATTTCTCCTGGGTAGGTATCTTACAGCTGAATTGCTGGGTTCTCTGGTGGCCCTATGCTTAACCGTTTGAGGAGCTGTCAGACTGTTTTCCAGGGCGGCTGCACTGTTTCACACTCCCACCAGCTGCGTGGGAGGGTGCCAGCATCTCCACATCCTCGCCAACTCTTGTTATAGCATCATTATAGAACAGAGCTGGTGGCTCAGATGGTAATGAATCTTGCCTGCAATGCTGGAGACCTGGGTTCGATCCCTGGGTTGGGAAGATCTCCTGGAGTAGGAAATGGCAACTCACTCCAGTATTCTGGCCTGGAGAATTCCATGGACAGAGAGCCTGGCGGGCTACAGTCTACATACAGGCTTTGCCTGGATGGCAGAGTTGGACACAACTGATCAACTTTTACTCACTCATTCAGGATAGAGCCGGGTGAGGGAGCGTGCTGATTGGTTGTTCTGTCAGGTTCTGTACTTAGTGTGTTTGAAATGCTTCCATTAAAAAAAAAAAAAAAATCCCTCAGAAAGATTCCTGGGCTGCAGGAATGTGAGCATCTGTTTGGCTTTGTGAGATGTTTCTCAGCTGGAAAGAATAACACTTTGAGTGCACTGGGGATCATTCGCATAGCTCATCCACACTCCTCTGCTAGCTTTTTTTAAAAAATTCAATTAATTAGTTTTTACTTTTTTGGCTTTGCTAGGTCTTCGTTGCTGTCTCGTTGCGGTGCATGGGCTTCTCACTGCAGGCGCTTAGCTTGTAGAGTTCAGGCTCTAGAGGGCAGGCTCAGTAGTGGTGGTGTGCTGGCTTAGATGCTCAACGGCAAGTGGAATGTTCCCGACCAGGGACTGAACCTGTGTCCCCTGCTTTGGCAAGTGGGTTCTTAACCACTGGACTGCCAGGGAAGTCCAAGCTTTCCATCTTTACCTTTTGAGTCTGCTCAGAGAGTTTCTTCCTGACGTGTTTGTGGCTGGTGAAGCAGCGCCACGTGGGCCTTAGGCATCTGCTGCTCAGGCTGGAGTTCTGGAGGGCCCCCCATCACTCGATGCCTGGTCTGCTAACTTCATGCTCAGGGTGGGCAGGTGACTAGGACAGAGGAGCCGGACAGGCTGGGTGGGGACGGGCCAAGGGCCAATCTCTGTCGAGCACCAGGGGCCTCAGGCTCGGTGTGGCCACATCCGATGCATTTGCAAATGCAGGTTTCAGAATCTGGATTTTAACACCTGCTTTCTCAGTTTCACCTGTTGGGAGTTCATTCTGATTCTTGACAAATGTTGCCCAAGCCAGCAGTCTCTCTGGGTGGCTGGATTCTGCCTGTTGGTGGCTACACACTGCTACTTTGATCTCTCTGAGCCTCTGTGTCCCCAGCTGTTCAGAACTGCCGTGGGCTGTGGTGATGATCTCAAAGACGGTGTTTATCAACATCCCTGAGGGCTATTGAGGAACCAGTGTGGGAAAAGTCTAGAAACACAGCTGTTCCAGAAACAGAGCCATCTAGCTGTGACTTCTCTGAGGAACTTCTGTGGTGTTTGCTCACAAGATAGAGGCATGAGGGTTGCACAGTCTGTGCATTTAATTTACATCAGTTCTTACAAACTTCAATTAAAGAGATCAAAGTGAAGGGGGACCCCCCTTGTATTTCTAGAATGTTTTCCATGTCTGTCTCCTCTGTAGGTGATACTGTGTAAATTCATCTCACTACCCAGCACTCTGCTTAAGTGATCTTTGAGAACTGTGATTGAGGATTTGGGCCTTTTGTGCTGACTCTAGTGCCTGTCCCCCAAGTGGGTTCCATCTCCCCTCCAGCTGTGCCTTCTTTAAGCAGACCCAGGAATGTGAAGTTATGGAATATTTGTTTGTTCTGTTGTTTGCTGGCATTTAACAGCTGCATGCTCAGTCGCTAGGTCATGTCTGACTCTTTAGGACGCCGTGGACTGTAATCTTCCAGGTTCCTCTGCGCATGCAATTTTCCAGGCAAGAGTACTGGAATGACATTGCCATTTCCTCTTCCGGGGATCTTCTCAAGCCAAGGGTTGAACCCGTGTCTCCTGAGTCTCCTGAACTGCCAGGCAGATTCTTCACCATGGAACCACCACCTGGGAAGCCATTTAACAACTAGACAACAGTGATAAACACTGAACACTTTCTATATGCTGGGCATTTTTCATGTATCCACATTCAGTCGTCACTGGAGCCCTGTGAGGAATTCATTGTAATCCCCATTTTTCAGAGGAGGCACAGAGAGGGTAAGGAGCATGCCTGAGGTCACACAGCTTGCTGGTAACTGACTGTGTCAGGGGTTCCCAGGACCACTCTCAGGTTCGATGATTTGCTGGGAAGACTCAGCTGTGATTTATTACATAGAAAATATTCAAAACATAACCAACAAAGGGGACAGGCTCACAGGGTGAAGTCTGGGGGAACCAGACAGAGGCTTCTAGAGCCCTCTCTTGGGGGAGTCACACAGGACATGCTTCCTCCTCCCAGTGATGAGTTGTGATATGTGTGAAGTGTCCCCTACCAGGGATGCCCAGTAGAAACTCTTCCCTGGGGATGTTTACTGGGGGCTGGTCACGTCAGCGCTTTCTGCCTGGTATGCACCCAGATTCCAGACTCCCTGAAGGAAAGCAGGGGGTCAGCATCAACTGCCTTGTTTGTTAGCTGGGTACATTGCCATCCTGAATAAAACTGGCATTCTGTTTCAAAGAGGAAGAAATGGACATCAGCTAGGTCCCTGGCAGCACCCACCACATAGAAGACATGAAGTTTTCATTTAAAAAGATATTGTCGGATTGTCAAGTTGTTTCCTGTCAGGAGATGCCCATTCCTCAAGATCACGCCGATCTAGTCGTTGTAGAATCACAGGTCCAGAGCTGTCTGACCTGAGGCACCCCGACAAAACTTCTCACTTGCTTGATCTCCCTTATTTCCAGACAAACTGGGAACATCCAGCCAGTGGTCCTGCCACTAATGTGGTTCGAAGAGGTAAGGCTGCCTCCCTCTCCCTGGGTACCAGGTTCCTGTGGTTGTGGTATCTGATGGCTCAGTGAGGAGCTAATGTGGGCATCTGAGGCAGGAGGCTGTGTGTGGTGGGGAGGCGGGGCTGGCTAGCTGGACTCTGTGATGCAGAGCAGTCTATTAGAAATTTCACCCTCTCCAAGCACATTATGTCAGTTATGCCACTGGACTGAAAGGCTCAGTTGAGATGAGGAAGACCAAAGCTGCCTGAAATTGTAAAGCCCCTGGTCAGCGTATAAAATAATTTTGCTAATACATGTGACCACTTCTCCAAAGATGAAGGGAAGTTCATTTTCACTGTGTCGGCTTTTTATTGAACTTCCTTTTCTCCCAGCTTTTCAAGATTCCTTCTGGCTTAGTTCATTTTAATTCAGGGTGAGCTAACAGCCGGAACAGCCAGACTCCAAATGTCAAATTCACTTCCTGCTCACATCACAGTCTGATGGAGAGGGGAGGTGGAGCTGTGCTCCATGCAGACACTTGGGGACATCTGGGCTCCTTCCATCGTTTGGTTCTGACCTTTCGGAAATCCTCAGAATCCATTTCCATTCAGTAAATTGGCAAAGAGATGGAGAGAATCACGTGGGAGCCAGGTGTGGAAATTGTAACGTCCTTGTGCCCACATCCCGTTGGCCAGAAGAAGTCACGTGGGCCTGCCTAGCTGCAAGGGAGTCTGGGAAATGTAGTCCTGTTGTGTGACCCTGGAGGACATAGAGGCTGGCCTAATGGCATGCTTTGGCCAGTGGACTTGGGATGGGGAAGTGATGGAGTGGCATCTGCACCCTCAGCTCATAGTATGTGGCCCTAGTCCATCTGTTTGTCCTTCTTCCCCAGAGTGGCGCAATGGAGGGTGAGACCCTTCAGACATTCTATACCCAGCTGGTGTTGATGCCCAAAGTGCTGCAGTATGCCCAGTATGTGCTCCTTGCCCTGGGCTGCATCCTACTGCTCATCCCCATCATCTACCAAATCCGGAGTCAAGTAAGTAATGGTCAGAGCATGGCCTGGGCTGAGTGGTCCCTTGCCTGCTTGGGGGATGGAGGGGCTCAAATCAGATTCCCCAACTGTCCCTTCCTGCTGTGCCCATGGACACAGCCTGCACCCTCAGCCTGCACCCACTTCGAGCAGAAGTCCTAGGTCTCTACTTGGGCTGGGGAGCCATCCATCACTGCATCCTTGCCTCTCCTGCATCTTCTGTTACCACTTCTCTGCCTGTTTGGGGAGGCTTGGGGGCCCAACTTTGGAGGGACTGCAGTGGTTTGGGATCATGAGACCTGGTACTTGAATGGTTTGTTCATCCAGTCAGCAGCTGCTGGCTGCCAGGTTCTGGCAGGTACAGAGCATACAACAGTGAACAAGACAGTTCCTGTTGATGGGTGTGCGGGGATAAGCATTCTCATTGGAAAGACAGGTGGGAGTCAAGTAACTAAACAGAAGAGATGATTTCACCCATGATAAAGATGATAGAGAATGTGATGGGCTCAGGGCAGTGCTGTCCAGGACAGATACAACACAAGCCACATGTGTGATTTTAAATTTAAAGTTCTAATAGCCACATTAGGTAAAAGGGAATTAATTTCAATCATGTCTTTTATTTAACCTGGATATATCCAAAAGATTACCATTTCAATCTGCAATCAATATAAAAAAATTAAGTATTTCTGCATTATGTTTTTGAGTGAAGTCTTTGGAATCAGTGTGTATTTGACACTTAACAGCATATCTTGATTGGGACTCACCCCATTTCAAAGCCTCCACAGCCACATTTGGCTGCTAGACTGGGGGCCACAGTATCCAGGGAGGTTGGGGACAACGATAGCGATAATGTTAGAAAAGGTTTCTTTGAAGAGGCTGAATTTAGGCTTAGATGTGAATGCTCAGTACAGAGTCATGGAAAGACTGCTGCAGGTGGAGGAATGGCCAATGCAAAGGCCTTGAGGCAGGGATGGGTGGGGCTGTATTGGAGGATCCTGCTGCAGTGGGTTGGCTGGAGGGGAGTGGACGTAGGGGCGGCAGGGGAGGTGGTATCTCAGAGGCAGAGGTAGGTCATGCCTGGCCCTGTAACTTGGGATGAGCCAGCTTGGAACTGATTCCAAGGGATGACTGGAAGCTTTTAACTCATTATTGACTGGGGAATATTTGCAGAAACAAATGCCTGTAGCAGGCGATTTTCATTTTGGCCAGCCAAAAATTAATTCTGTTATTTCATTGTGTGCAGGTTATTGCATTCAATAGTTACCCCTGACACACCTGTAAAGTCTTCTCATTTTCATGAGATGTTGTCTTCAATCCACTCCTCTGTAGAAACAAAGGAGCGTTCTCTAGCATCATGAGTTCTATTTTCACTTTCCACATCAGAATCATGCACTAAGGTTTTTTGTCTCTTTGTTGGTCTAATATTCACATTGTCTGAATCAGAACTATGTTCTGAAGAACTGTCATCTTCTGAGATACTAGTATATACGTTGCTCAGACATTCAGAGAAAGTATCTGCCTAAAATTCACCAAAAAATTCTTCTTCACTCAAAATCTCACAATGTGTCGTTTTTGGTAAATTTTACGTTTATAATACAAGATTGGAACAAAAACCTTAATGGAGCAAAATGTGAATGATGATGACAATCATAAGTTGTATAATGAGCCCTTGATCAATTTTAAGCTCTAACAACTTCGCCTGGTGATGTTAATTGTATTCACATGTGTTAATCCACTCTCTAAAAATATGTGGATATGTCTCTGGTCAATAATGGGTTTAAGGAGAGGGGTGACTGAGTCGGTTGACATGTGGCAGCTATTAATAGGTCTTCCCATGAGAGAGCAGGAGCAGGGGGACCAGTGAGGAGGCCCAGGTGAGCTCGGATACTGGCTTGGACCAGAATAGGAGCAGGTATTAAGGAACAAGAGCCCTGAAGAATCAGTCCTGGGCCATCTGCCATTCAAAGTCAGGAAGCACATTGGGGGACAACAAATACCCCCCTTTCTTTTTTTTTTCTTCCTTGGTCTTTTTTTTTTCCCCTGCCTTGCAGCAGGGCATGCAGGCTCTTAGTTTCCCAACCAGAGATTGAACCTGTGCCCCCTGCAGTGGAAGCACATAGTCTTAACCTCTGGACTGCCATGCAAGTCCCAATGAAAACCCCTTCTTGATTTGGCATCATTCATTAATTCACTCATGGCATTCACTGACACTTTCACAGCTTATTTTGAAGGGACACTGCACAGTTAGGTGGGTACAGACATAAATAGGTTGTGAGGTCTAGAGACCAGGGAGCATTAGGCAGGTTACTGCCATCTCATGGTGACAAGGGCCCCCGGGGCAGAGGACTTGGGTGAGCAGCTAGCTGGTAGACAGAAGACAGCACTCAATGGCACAGTCTTGCAAGGCCGTATTGAATCCATGAACCAGAAACCCCCCCTTTGGGGACCCCCACTCCAAGTTTTCCTGGAGCCCCAGGCCTGGGCCTTGGAGGGGGGTTGCCCAGCTTCCCTGCTGCCCCCTCGGGCCACCTGCAACACCAGCTTTCTTGCTTTAGCTTTGGTAAACAGCCTTTTCTCTTTTGCCTTTTACTCGGAGGCAGATTGCATGCTTGCTTGCTTGTTGGTAGCTGGGGCGATGATAAACCTTTCCAGGCTCTTAACCTGGGCTTTCAGACCTTTATCACCACTTCCCTTCCAAATTCCCCAACCTTCGGGGGAAAAGGTTTGCACTGATGTGAGGGTACCAGGGCCTCTGGTGTCTTGAGCCCCTGATGAACGCTGGGGACCCTATCCTCTGTCACTGCCCCAGCCAGAGCAGAAGGGAACTCCCTACGGTATTTGGAATGAATTATTCTGGGAGGACAGAGGGTACCAGAGGCCCTAGCCCCCAGTCTGTGGATGACTCCCCAGGCCCAGCATCACCGTGGGTTTCCAGGAGTGAAGACATACACAACCACACGTGGGTGGGGGGTGGGGGTGTCAGCTGGTGAGGGCCAGGGCCAGACAACCCCCGTCTGTCCCCTCTGTCTCTCTCCTAATGGTCCATCAGAAGGGGAAGGGGCAGGAGACTGAGGATGCAGGATGTGAACACTTCCCTGCTTCACCCCCCATCCTTGTCCCCCAAGTCCCATAAGATTATTGATCGTTTCTATTAATGATGGTAAGGCTCCCTCCCTGCAGGTTGTACTGGAGGCCCAATCAATGAAATTTATCCCATTATGTGTTTTGAACAGAGGAGCCTAGCAGGCTACAGTCTATGAGGTCGCAAAGAGCTGGGCACAGCTGAATGACAAACACATGTATTTTTTGGTTTAGCAAGGGTTAGGCCTTTTGTGTTTTTATATATTTCCCTTGGGAGAAAAAAAAAAGAATGGCACATCATTAAACTCAAAATATTTTAATTTCTCTTCAAAGACATTTTTTTTTTGTTCAAGTCATTCTTGAAAAAAAACAAACACCTCTGTTTCTGGTCTATTTAAAATGCCACCGGCTAGCTCAGTCCATACAGCATGAAATTCTTCACATGCCACTTGCTCACGTCTCTGAGTCTAGGCTGAGCCACCTCGCTCACCATGGCCCATCGCCACTCCTAAACTTGGCCTAAATTTTCAGGCCAACAGACCCTTTTTAGTTTGCCCATCTGATCAAATATGTTTCCTGAAGATGCTGGTGTATCTGTCTTCGGTGAAGGGCACTATCACTTCCCAAATCTCCCAACTGCAATCATTAATGGTGGTTGGATGCGAAAGTTCTGTACCCCAGCCCCTGCTTTTTGAAGAACCCTGCAAATTGAAGAACCCTATAAAAACCATGTGTGTTCAGCTGGAACGGCAACTATAAATTAGCTTGGTTATCTTCTAGGAGAAATGCTATTTATTTTGGATTAGTTTTAAAAAGGGCTCAAAGGATAAGGAGGCCGTTCAGGCCTATTCTGAATTCCTGATGACATCAGCTCCCAAGGGGACTGTACTGCAAGAAGCAAGACTGTAGGTGGGTACCAGGTAATGCCCCCGCCCCACCCCCCACCTCCTCCCGTAGTGAGTAGAACTCTGGCACCTTGAAACGCTTTGGATCTTATACATCTCTTCAGCCTGCACTTCACCTGTCTACAGATAGAAAATATGTACTTGTATACTTTGCTGTCTTCTTACATTCTGAGTGATCCCAGGCGTGGTAGGGGACAGAGGGCGACTAGTGGGCTGGTGTCTTATTTTCAAGGTTGTCTTAAAAAGGCAGGATCAAGGTTTAGGTCAGCTGCTTCTCAGACTTCCGGTGCAATAGATTCTTCTGGGGAAGTCTGCTAAAAATGAAGATCTGAGGACATTCTTCTAAACCTCCTGAAATAGAATCATGGACGGGCCCCGGGAATGTGTTATTTTAATCCCTTGGTGACTCAGTGGTAAAGAATCCGCCTGCCAGTGCAGGAGACGTGGGCTTGATCCCTGGGTTGGGAAGATCCCCTGAAGAAGGAAATGGCAACCTGCTCCAGCATTCTTGCCTGGGAAATCCCATGGACAGAGGAGCCTGGTGGGCTACCGTCCACGGGGTCGCAGAGTTGGACACAACTGAGTGCACATGCACCAAGGGGATTATGAGTAGATTGGTTTATTTATTTATTTTTGGCTGCACCCTGCGGAGTGTAGGATCTTAGTTCCCCAACCAGAAATCGAACCCACGTCCCCTGCATTAGAAGCACGGAGTCTTAGCCACTGGACTGCCAGGGAAGTCCCTGATATAGATTGGTTTAAGTGAATCTGGGATGACTGACCAAGAAAGAAACAATTTGGGCATCACCTGGGCACCCACTATATATCCAGAACTCAGTCTGAGGGAAGGGTTGCCAGATTGAGCAAAAACAAACCAAAAAACTCCCAAGAAATGACAGTAGCAAAGAGGTGCTCAGTTAAATGTGATTTTCAGGTAAACAGCGAATGATTTTTTGCCTAAGTGTGTCTCATGCAATTGTCGGGACACACTTATACTGAAAACCTGTTTGTTGGTTACCTGAAATTCACATTTAACCAGCTGCCCTCCCTGCATCTGACAACCTACCTGCAGGAGAAGTAGGCTGGTGCCTTGTGGGTTCACCTTCCTCTGGGCTGTGTTCCTTTAGGTCTGAGGTCTTGGGAGAGCCAAGTCCAGCCAAGGGAGGTGACAGGCAGCACTCTGAGCCCTACTGTTGGGGTTTGGGCAGCAGTGAGTCAGTCTCACTATGGCTGTGCCTCTGATCATAGCTGTTATTTTGGTTTCTGAAAAATGTGCCGCCCTCGCCAGCTTCTGGGGCTGTGCCTGCTCGGGTTTAAATAGCTTTCTTGAGAGCTAAAACCTGAAGACGAGTCGACAGCCCTTCTCTTTGGGGCCAGTTGGCTGCTCCAGTTTGCTTCGACTGCCAGGGTTGGAGGAGGAGGGAGAATGGAACACGCCAAGTGCTGGGCGTGGGTGTGTGTGCTGGCAGGCGCCGCCAGTCCCTGCAAGGAGCAGAAGCGAGGGACAGCTGTGTCCCCAGCCAGACTCTGGGGGGCTCCTCCTGCCGACCTGGGGATAAGAGAGCCTGGCCACGTCAGGGCTGAGTGTTAAGAGGGTGTCCTCCTGAGTTTGGGAGCAGGACATCCTATCCAGAGATGGGTACCCCGCTTTCCTTCCTCTCTCCCAGAATTCCTCTGGGATGCCTTCTTAGGTACAGTCTGGCCCCTTGGATACCCCTCCCCCATCCAGCCAAGATTCCCTTCTGCAGAAACTTTTTTGCTGTTCTGGGGGTGTAAGGGTAAGGTCTTCCTAGAAGGGGGTTATTGGCTTTTAGCACAGATAGAACTGGTAATCTGTGAGGTCTCAGCCCCATGGTCATGCCTCCCTGGATGCAGCCAGGATATCCTGCCTACTGCCCCCTCCCCCCTCCAAAAAAACCCCACACAACACTGGAGTCTCCTCTTGACTTTACCAACAGAATTCAAGCTTCAAGTTATCAGGGAAGGCTTTTTTTTTTGTTTGTTTTAATCTTTTGGCCACACCACACAGCATGTGGGATCTTAGTTCCCTGACCAGGGATTGAACCTGTGCCCCCTACATTGGCAGCGTGGAGTCTTGTGGACTACCAGGGAAGTCCCAGAGAAGTTTCTGATTAAAGAGATTCTATTGCCTTGCCTTCTGGAAGGCTCAGCCCAGATGAGACCCCTATCCCCAGTCATGTGTACTTGAGGAAGGCAGTGTCCTGTTGGTGCTGGTTTAGGAGGCCAGGCAGGCACTTGAGAAATTGCCAGTGGTCCAGAAGACCTAGAATCCCTTCAGGGAAGCCTCTAACCTGTTTTGAACACCTAAGGGAGATCCCACACCTTGCCTTGCACTTCGGCATGGGGTGGGCTTGAGGAGCTGCTAGCCCAGAAAGATGTCTTTATGTGAGTAAGAAAAAGACAGCCCCTCTGTGCAGACGTGGCCTGCTTTAGGACCGCAGGTTTAGAACACAGAATACAGCCCATGTATAGCCCCCTTGGCTGAGTGCCTTTGTGCAGTGACCAACCTGGACAACTGTACTAGGCAGCCCTGCAGGGACATGTTCCTGGATCTTTCTTACCTTCTCATGAGTCTCATTAATTCCAAGTCCTCATTCCACAGTTAAAGGACAGTGTTAGGGAGCAGGAAGAGGAGGAGGAATCTGTCTCAGGTTCTGGTTCCTTGAGGGTTTGTTACATGTGTCTTTCTTGCAGAAGCAGCTTCCCCTTTTCACTTTTTTTTTTTAATTGGAGGCTAATTACTGTACAANCTCTCCTCCTCTCTCCTGGCTGGAATGTGGCTCAGTCTGGGTAGCCTGAGATCAGTCCCACAGGAGAGGCAGGAGTTTCACCTTCCGCTTGGTCATGCCTGGAGTGGAGTTTGATTTTTTCCCCACCTCACAGTGAAGCAGACCTCTGGGCTTTGTGAGCATGGTCCAAGCGGGCAGGGGTTTTTGGGGTTTTCCAGCCACAGCTGCTGGGCAAGAAGGCATCTCTCTCCATTCTTCAAGGGGAATGAAGATAGAGGGCTTAGGGGGATGAAAAGTTACCCCCAGTTTTTATTATCACAGCTTACCTTAAATTTATTTTTTGTTGGAGTATGATTGCTTTACAGTGTTGTGCCAGCATGTGCTGCACAACCGAGTGGATCATCTATGTGCATGCGTACACCCCCTCCCTCTTGAGACTCCCTCCCATACCCCCATTTCACCCGTCTAGGTCCTCCCAGAGCCCTGAACTGAGGTCTGTCTGTTCTACAGCGGCTTCCCACTAGCTATCTGTTTTACATATGGCAGTGCCCACATGTCAGTCCTAATTTCCCAGCTTGGCCCACCCTCCCCTTCCCCTGGGTCCACATGTCCGTTCTCTACATCTGCTTCTCTATTCTTGCCCTGCAAATAGGTTCATCTGTTCCACTTTTTCCCTAGATTCTACACACATGCGTTCATATGCGATGTTTGTTTTTCTTTCTCTGACTCACTTCACTCTGTATGACCAACTCTAGGTCCATCCATGTCTCTTTAATTTCATTAAATTTCCTTAAATTGTGAAATTAAAAAAAAAAAGTAAAGCTAGATGAACTACCCTGAGTTCCCTCTTACCCAGACTCAACAACATCAGCTGTTCACATCTTGTCCTCGTTCTCCTTTTCACTCTGTGCCCTTTGCCCCCACCCCACCAAGCCCCACAGCCCTCCCCCTATCCGGAGACAACCATTTCTAGGAACTTGGTGTGTGCCTGCTTTCCCCCTCTAAATCTGTATCCATGAGCAGTAGATCAGTTTCTGAAACGTTGTCTCTGGAGGACATGCTACATAAGTCACTCTGCAGCTGGTTTTCCCTTTCTCAATTTTCTGTTTGTGAGAGCTGTGTAAGTTGACTACCACCTTGCGACTCTGTTTTAGATGCATTATGATATCAGTGGACATTTAGGTGCTTTCCAGTTTTCCTATGTCGACAGTATTGCTTATATAAGCCCTGAACTCCTTGCTCTGCCCTTCTCTCTCTATTAGGCGAGTCCCTTTGGACCTCAGTTTCCCCATCTCTAAAATGGGATGAGAGCAGGGCGGGATGGTGTTTCATGAGATGGGGAGACCCTTGCAGTTGCGACCCAGGAGTCTGTAGGTCACTCCAGTCTTTTCTCATATCGAGCCTGATTGGTGGGGGCTGCTGATGGGACTCCCAGGGGGGTTTCCATGCTGTTGGAGGATGTGCAGGGGCGGGGCGGGGTGTGGGCGGGGCTTGGCATGGGCAGGGCTTGGTGGCTGGCCTTAGTGATGCAGCGCGCCCTGCCTTTTCTCCACAGGGTTCCAAAGATGCCATCAGCCAGCCCAGTCTGGCCGCTCAGCCAGACCAGCTTCCCAGCCCCTACACCCCGCTTCTTCAGGACTCACTCAGTGGACAGCCCACCAGTCCCAAAGTCTGAGCCCGCACCTCCTGCACATTGCACGCACACACACACACACACACATACACACGCATGCCCCTGGTACGTGCCCACACGTGTGCACAGGTGTGTGCAGACACTCAGGGATGGAGCCGCTGCTGAGAGACTTGGGGGAAAGGCTGGTCAACAAGGACTGTTCTGGAAGCTTCTCTCCATGTAATCCACAGGCCTGACCATAGGTGCTATGGGCACGGGGTCCCCTAGCCCAGGCCTTTAATGACTCACATCACCTCTCCCCAGCGGTCCGCTCCATCTGTCTTGAAACACTGCAGCCCCTTTCTGGTGGCTCACCCAGGCAGGACAGGGCGTTTACCCTGAGAGGCCGCCACTGTCCCCAAATCCAGTCCAGGAGTGCTGACTTCTTGTGCCCGAACCTGGTGGGCAAGGTTTTGTGGTTCAGCACCCAGCTCGGACCAGAGCTGTAGCCACTGGACTCCCATCTGGGACTCAGAAATGGAGATGCATCCTAAACCCCCTGCAGGATCATGGGTTTGGGTGTCCAGGTCCCTTCCCTCCAGCCTAAACTGACATCATCCTGTATACTGAGCCAGTCACTTCCTGGCTGGGGTGGTGGAAGGCTGTGCCCTGAGCTGCCCCCCACCAAGGTCTGCAGCTATCAGGTGCCAGGGCAGAAGTAGAGAGGCTCCGGAATGTCAGCCTGGATGTCTGGTCAGGAGACCCATCCGTCTGGGACTCCTGGTCTCTGGGACAAGCAAGCCTCTGTCTCTTTTCTACTGGAAGGAAAACTGAATATCATCTTTTAAAAATAATTCATCATTGAAGTAATAAACCTTTTTAAAAAGTGATCGCCTGAGTCTGTAACAGCCTGTTTGTGGGAGGCCGGGTTGGGGGTGGGGTGCGGTTCCTTGGGAAGTTCTAGGCTCTTCTCGCGTGCTAAGTCACTTCAGTTGTGTCCGACTCTGTACGATCCTATGGACTGTGGCCTGCCAGGCTCCTCTGGTCCATGGGGCTTCCCAGGCAAGAATACTGGAGCGGCTTGCCATTTCCTCCTCCAGGAGATCTTCCCGACCCAGGGATCGAACCTGCAACTTTTGCATCTCGTGCTTTGGCATGTGGGTTCTTTATAGCTAGCGCCATCTGGGAAGCCTCAGGCTCTTTTTAGCTAGTATCTCATTTCTGGTTACTGCCATCATGAGTGTCTCTCAAAGACTGGGCTGCAGGCCTGCTTTTCCATTGTTATTTAAGAATTCCAACTTGTGTATATTTAACACTTTATATAAATTCTTCAGGAATTCAGTTCTTCTTAACAAAGAATAGCATCCATGTGAACCATTATCCCTTTTGATTTTTGAGCAGAATTCCCTCATAGGTACATAGCACAGGTTTCCAACCATTTGTGAGTTGAAGGACATTTCACATATTTCCAGTTTTCGGTGATTATGCATAGAAAGCTGCTACAAACATGAATATACAGGTTTTTGTGTGAACATATATTTTTTTCTTTTCCTTTTTTTTTGCTCTTGGGATCTTACTTCCCCAACCAGGGATTGAACCGGGGCCCACGGCAGTGAAAATACAGAGCCCTAACTACTGGACCACCTGGGAATTCCCGATTTTCATTTCTCTTAAGGAAAATACGTAGGAGTGAGAGTGCTCAGTCATATGGTAACACAGAGCATAAGTTTGTGTTTAGCCTTTTTCACAGTAGCTGCGCCATTCTACATTCCCACCATCCAGGTATACCTTGGTACTTCCAGGTTTTTAAAGAATTGTTGTCATTTGTAGTGGTATCACATTTTTTTGTGTTTTTTTATTTGCATGGAAGTACATTTGCTAATGAGATGGTGGTTTCCTCTTCACTCTCAGCTAATTTATGTATCCATGAATGACTGTGACTGCCAGAATGCGACCAATTTTGTCATCAATCCTATTCTTGTTTTGCATAAGTGCAGAGAAGCCTTGTTTACATGAATAAATAGCTGGAAGTAGAAGGAATATTCTGATAGCAGAGTCACTCAATTCTTTTATTTAAATTTTTTTATTTTTAAAAGATGAGGGTATTTTTATTTTAGATTGGAGCATAGTTGATTAGCAATGTTGTGTTAGTTTCAGGTGTACACGAAAGTTATACACACACATACATGCATTTTTTTTCAAATTATTTTTCCTGTTAGATCATTAGAGTATTGAGCAGAGTTCCTCATGCTATACAGGAGGTCCTTCACTCAATTTTTAGACTGCTGAGTAATGGGCAAAAATAGGGTGGTAATCTATCATCAAAAAAGTATTTTTACTGATCTATCAACTGACACTTCCATCTGACCTTTCTTCACATTCATAGAAGGCTACAAAGTGGGAAGGATTACACAGTCTTTTAGATCAGTTCTCGAAACCAGTATTTGGGAGTGTCCCTCTTGGCCAGGGAGGGCTGCACCTGCCTGCTTCAGAGTGGGGGGCTCATGAAGGGGCCCAGGGAAGAGAGCGTGCTGCCTGCTTTTGGGGAGACTCAGAGGTGACAAGTGTTTGAGGAGCACTGAGATGACTGCTGACTTCCCCGTGTCCAAGCCTCATCACAGACACTTGCAACTTTTGCATTCAGCGCTGCCTGCTCATAAAGGAAAAAAGAGACAGTCTCCACAAACTATTGTGCCGTGTGTGTGAGTGTGTGTGTGTGTCCCCAAGTGATCACAGGATGGAAGAGGTGAATTAAGCCTCCAGGCGTATTATTATGTGAACATCTTGCTTCTGAGTATCTTGGTAAAGTTCAAGCTAATTTGTTTTTTTTGGTACAAGCTTGGTCCTTAAGCCCAGTCTCTGACTACACTGGGGGTTCAGAGAGGAATTGCCCTCTGGCCTCACAGGGAAAGGACGGGCTTCGAGGCCACCTTGAGAGACATGGCATCAGGCTTTAACACGGCCCTCGGGAGTTCTTGGGGTACCTTTGACTCAGGCCTTATTCCTACCATATCACTTTAACCTGCCCACGATGTGACTCAGCTAACTATTTTTCTTCAATTTGATCCACTTTTTTGACTTAAAAGAAATTTTCTTTAAAAAACTTTGTTTTTTTAAAAAGTTTTATCTGAACTCGTGGGTCCAACAGGCAAGTTAAAATTTTCTTGCTGCTGTTCTTAGTAGTTTAGTTGTGTCCAACCCTTTGCGACCCCATGGACCTTAGACTGCCAGGCTCCTCGTCTGTGGAATTCTCCAGGCAAGAGTACTGGAATGGGTTGCCATTCCCTTCTCCAGGGGAACTTCTGACGCAGGGATCGAACCCGGGTCCCCTGCATTGCAGGCCGATTTTTCACTTTCTGAGCCACCAACAAAGATGTAACTGTGTGGAATCTAAAAAATAAAGCAAACTAGTGAATATAACAAAAAAGAAACAGACTCTCAGATGTGGACAACAAGTTAGTGGTTACCAGTGGGGAAAGGGAAGGGGGGAGGGGCATGATAGGGGTAGGGAACTAAGAGGTACATACTATTCTGTATACAAAAACTAGCTGCAATGATATACTGTACATACAGCCAATATTTGATAATATAGCCAATATTTGATAATAACTATAAATGGAATATAACCTTTAAAAATTTTGAACCACTCTGTTGTACACCAGAAGCTTACATAATATTGTACATGAATGGTACCACAATAAAAAAGGAAAAAATATTTAAAAATACTTAACTATTAAAGCTTAAGGTGTTCATCCAGGTACTACCAGACCTGCCCGATTCGAGAACTCTGTACTGTGCCTTATTGTGTCCTCCACTTCCTCCTCTTATCACTCTGCCTGAGGAATAAGTGTCTGGCTCAGTCTTGGCCATCATCAAAGACTCAATTCCAGCCATATCCCCTCTTCCAGGAAGCCTCCCTGATCTCTTCTGCTCACTCAGCTCCCCCCTCAAACCCCTGCTTGGGATTCCTGGGTTGCTGTGTACCTTAGAAGATACTAGAATGTTCTAGAATACTGGAAGTCCTAACCCCAGTTACTGGAGTCCCTAAACCCCAAGAGCCTGTAATGTAAGCCCTGCCACCTGCAACTGCACCAGAAACCAGTTTTAACCAAGATGGTTACTCACGTTCCCATGTATTCCTTTGCTCACTCATGGTCACTCTTTCGACCAATATTTATGGAGTGTTCGCTACACACTGAGAATAAAATTATTAGGGTGGTTTTCCTAGTATTGGAAAAAAAAAAAAATACCTGCTTGGCAAAGTCAGTGCGGAGCTCAAAAAAAAATGGGCGGACCCCATTGGTGGGTTCAGGGCTGGGGCCCCTGCTTTTAGCCCCACAGTTCAGGGCTGTCCTAATTGATACCCTTGGGGTCTCTCGCCTGGAGGAGGCTCTGGCAGCCTGTACATCTGGCTCCCACGCTTGTCCGGTGCCGTCCCTTCCTCAAGAAGGGCCCTGAGAGGTCTTCCTGAAATGTAAACTATCACCAGGCTCATCTTTTGTTGAAATCCTTACTTGGTTTTTCCCCACCTGGAGGGTCAAACCCCTTCTCGCCGGCTGATGGGAAAATCCTTCCCCTTTTCAGGCTGCGATGCTAGGCTTCTGGGCAATTACAGGTTTGGCCACTGGAGGGCGAGCTGCGCACGCAGGTTGTTACGAGGTCTGGGTTCTCGTTCTCAGAAGTGTTGAGATCACCTCTTAAATTCCTTAAATTGAAAGGGGAGAAACGCGGGGGTCACAGTCTGGCTTCAGGAACTTGTAACCTCCAGAAATTTCGTTTTACGCCTCAGTTTCAGTCGCTCAGTCGTGTCCGACTCTGTGACCCCATGGTCTGCAGCACGCCAGGCTTCCCTGTCCATCACCAGCTCCTGGAGCTTGCTCAACTCATGTCCATCTAGTCGGTGATGCCATCCAGCCATCTCATCCTCTGTCGTCCCCTTCTCCTCCTGCCTTCAATCTTTCCCAGCACCAGGGTCTTTTCTAGTGAGTCAGTTCTTTGCATCAGGTGGTCAAATTATTGGAGTTTCAGCATCAGTCCTTCCAATGAATATTCAGGCTTGATTTCCTTTAGGATTGACTGGTTGGATCTCCTTGCTGTCCAAGGGACCCTCAAGAATCTACTCCAACACCACAGTTCTAAAGCATCAGTCCTTCAGCACTCAGCCTTCTTTATGGTCCAACTCTCACGTGACACTGGAGTCATGTGAGTCTCCCGTACATGACTACTGGAAAAGCCATAGCTTTGACTAGACAGTCTGCATATTTTCTGGGAAACGTTTCCTTAATATTCTTCAGCTTTTCAAAGGGGTCTTGACCTCCAAGGTTCCTCTGAGCAAGAGTGAGACTCCTAAAATAAAACTAGGTTCATGGGATATTCATGCTTCCTTAACATGAAAAGGAAAGGGCTCTGATCTTGGAGGCAGGTCCCCTGCACACGAGTCCAGTGGTGCTAGTTGCTGGGCAGCCTTGGAGAACTCTGCAACCCCTCTGAACCTTGGGTTTCCTGCCCTTGGGAGTGAAGATTGTTGCTCTGTGAATACCTGAGAAGCCTTACGAAGGTGGAATAGAAATGAATGTGTGAACATACACGGTCCAGGACTGTTGTGAAAGATCTCAGATACTGAGCCTCCAGCAAGCATTTATTAGATACCTACTGTGTGCAGAGCACTGGGTGGGCACTGAGAGGGAGTCTAACTCAAAGGGCTGTGTGCCTACATTCATTCAGCTAATATTTTCCGGGTGCCAACGGTGTGTCAGATGCTTGAGTACACACACTGGGAGTTGTCTTGGGTTAGAGATGCTGACACAGAGACTCCTGGCCAAGGGGTGTCCCAGGAGGGCAAACTGGGGTCCAGCAGCCTGAGAGGGTAGTTTTTCAAGGAAAACTGGGC